TTATTTTTTTGCAATATATTATTTGCCATAAATTTCAAAGCTGTCTTGAATTTTAACAAATGAAACAATGTGAGGAGATTTGAAGTAGATCAAGAGTAATTCTTTGCATTTTATAAAAATTATATATATTTTAAAGAAGCATTTCAAATTCATGAGGAAAATTGTAACCCTTGTTACCAGCAAACAATTGTCTTTTAAGTACAACCACATTAACTATCAACACTCTAATCAAAATTAGCTAGATAATTAATGAGAACAGTAGAAATTCTCACATTAAAAATATGCATTGTAGATGTAATTTGTTTTTTTTTTAAAGGGGAATATTTGTGAAAATTAGTCAAAAACACAGCAAGAAATGAGATACCTTTTAAAAATATAAGACAGGTGTGAAAAGTTCTTTTTTTTTCATTATCACTCTACACGTGTGACAAAGATTTCTCTCCTTATCTCTATGTCCTTTTGTGGACATTTTGTGAGGGCACTAAATGTCACATTTAGTGCCCTCTGTGAATCTATGTCAAAGACTGAACCTGAAAACTTTATCATAACTCAATGCCCCCAAGGCTAAAAAGTAAATGAATTGACTGTATAGAAGCATGACAGTATTGTACTGTACCACATTTGCAGAGTGAAACCAAAAAATTGTGTGCAGGAAAGCTCTGTGTTTACTACTTTCAACTTTCTCTCCCCGGTTCTTTTTCTAGTCTCTGACATGTTAGAACAAATGCACAATTGGTATCACTGTTTACTGCTTTTAATAATAATAAAAAAAATGAACAGTGGTTGAAGAAATCACTAATAAATTAAAATCTATTTTCTTCATATTTATATATATTGAGATTGTGAGTATTAATTGTTCAGTATGCATCAATCCAGTTGGTTAATAGAATAAGACACATCCATCCATCCATCCATCCATCCATCCATCCATCCATCCATCCATCCATCCATCCATCCATCCATCCATCCATCCATCCAACCATAAATCCATCCATCCATCCATCCACCCATCCATCCATCCATCCATTTATTATTGAACCAACTTCCAGCTTATATTCACCAAATCATCTTTCCATGAAGGCTCTGGTCTCTGGATACCGTGAAGCTCCTCAGGAACATCCTGATAAATTACAAACATTTATTAAGATCCATTAACTGTTCTGTATTCCCATAGGAATCGATTGTTTTATACAACTAATGTTCAAGACACAATCTGCTGGTTAGATAATCTTGAAAATATGCACACAAGTTTCCTAGTTGAGTAATTCCTACTAAAATTATACATATATGTAGCTTAGGCCAAATAATTCAGCTTGTAATAACATTTAAACAATGCAATAAGGTAAACTATGATGAATGGTGCAGGAGTCAAACTAATTAGAATAACATTTCAAAATATACCTGAGTACTAAAAAGACATTGGATTGAGTCATTGGATTCTAACATTACTCACTAAATAAATGTCAATCCTCTGGTTTCTTCCAACAGCAACCACATAGCTTCAGACAGAAATTGTAGAATCTCAGCATGGTTTAAAAATATATTGAAAACTTTACAGACAAAATATCAAAACTCACAAATTTTCATTAACTCTGAGAAAGCTGCAGTCACACACCTCATGGCATTTACCTCCTAATGGGAGGATGTAAAAAATATAAAAAACATGTTTGGTTTTTTCTATTGTTTGTTTTTTTTCTTTCTGTAGTAATGAAACAAACTACGCTTACCTTTCTTTAATGTCTTAAGACACTGACCACTGTTGAAGTTCCATAACTTTAAGCATCCATTACTTCCTCCTGTGACCAGCCTAAAAAAGCATGAGTTGATAAAAAAAATAGATGAATAGATGCAAAAAGAAAAATGGTCCTTAATTACAGTACTGTATACCTCCTTCCTTTAAAGTCAAGTGTCATGCAGGTGATGTCAGTCAGATCTGGTGTTGCAGTAAACTCAAAAACTTGTCGACCAGATTCTAAATCCCAGACTTTCACCACCTAAAAAAAAATAAACAATCAATTATTATTTATTGATTAGGCAATGTATTGCCTAATCAATAAATAAGATTTTGTCAGATTTATACTTTCTTGAAAGAGTTTATTGCAAAAGTATTCATACTTACTTCATACTTTTATGGGCATGTGTGTAATTGGCAAGGGGCAGCTTTTTTGTAGTGCAGCTTTTTTGAAGCATAAGTAAAAAATGGCTGAATTGGTATTTATTTTTTGCAGTGATTTATTTTGGGGAGGGTTTTGTATTACCATCAGCCTCTGCATGTATTGGGTCATTGTAACCCCAAACAGCTTTCTTCTTAAAAGCATGCTTGTTTAGATCAGTTAGATACATTGTTGGTGATGGATTATCTTGCTGGGCAGTTTGACTGCATAATTCAACTTTCTCCTTTTTCACATACCAGGCAATCTTGCAATATCTTAAAAGAGAGATCATTTCAAATGCGTCTGATACCAGTTGCAAAGGCTGTTAGCTGACACTGAAGCCTACAGTCTTCCTTTGGGCAGGGACGGAGCTAGATGGGGTGCCAATCATTGGCCACCCCTGTGGCCACCCCTACCATTGTCAACCCTCTAATGCATATGTGGCAGCAGTAATACTCTCAAATGGAACATTCAAAACATTTAAATTTTTCATGTACCGGTAATAACAATTACTTGACAACAAAAGCACTGTGGTTAATTATGCACATCAATATACTAACATTAAAGATGATTTATGCAGAAATCATTCTCTAGATTTTGTGTTATATGGGGTAAAGAGAAAATGATGTGTCTCTGCAAGTCATGTAGGAGTATTCAGTAAAATAACAGATCAATAACATTTTGAATAAAAACTTATAAAAAAAAAATCAATTTATGTAGATATTAGTACTTATAAATATCAATTTTATGCAGAATGGTTATTGATAAAAGTAGGTAAGTAATCACAATGGAGAAGATGTTTGCCCCAGAACTCAAACCTGAAAGAACTTTATCCACTATAACTTTTATCTAGATGGATGTTTAAATAATGTGTGTAATTGTTAGCAAAGGCTGTTGGAAAGTATAGTTTGTCTTTATTTAGAAAATAAGGACTTTGTGCTCGTTGTTTTTTTCTGTAGGAGCAGTGTAGATTGACCCTGAGGTTCTGGCGCCTATCCACTTTTGGCCACCTCTCTGATTATTGGTTATTGCCTGGCCAACCTTGTAAAAATTTTCTGGCTACACCTCTGCTTTTGGGGTAAAGTAAACTGTCTATTATTTTTATAAACACAGTTCATTTTAAAAAGTTCAAGGGGTATGCATACTACTCACAGACCCCTTGCTGCAGCTCACGACCTGCCGTAACTCCTCGCTGTAGCTACAGCACATAACAGCCTCATCATGAGAAACAGCAATGCGACCGTGATGCTTTGGCCTGACAGAACAAAAACATATTAAAGTCAGTGAAATGATATTATAATCAGGGAGGAACAGATAACTAAATATAAATCTGTCATGGTCTATAGTCCATTTCATCTGAGGAACATGCTTACTGGACCTGAAAGTAGCCCGGTTTCTAGGAATAAAAGAGAATTATGAGCAAAGGTAAAAAAAAAAAAAAACAACAAACAACCTCGACATCAAAGGGAGCACAGCTATGCAGTCTGCTGCGACGTACAGAGCTCTCATGGCTGGGGAAAAGGAGCAGGCAGTTACATCACCATGAATCCCGCTGGCTGTGGGGTCGGCTGTGAACAGGCAACACTGATCTTGAATGTGCCAAATCTGCCATGAGAGCAGGCGGAGAGCAAAGAAAGACATAAAAGTTTACAAATGGAAAAATATTACAACTGAATTGATCAACAGTACATTTTTGATTAAATGTAGTAATTGTTAGACATAGGACATTAAAAAAGAATGCATAAATGTAAAGCAAAAAAAAATTTGATAATTTTGATTTTTCTTTATCAAATACATCTGTAAAGCCGACTGAGTATGCAGCCCACTTTACTCTGACACACTAATATTCAAATTCAGTGTAATCATTCGCCTTCAGACATCACTTATAAAACAGAGTTTTTCTGAATGTAATCTATTCTCAGTATTAATATAGGTGTTCTAAGGAAGCCAGGTATATGTATATTAAGAAACTGTAGTTATAAAAAATCTGCGATTGACTGGTGACCTCTATAGGTGTACCCCGCCTTTCACCCGTAGACTGGGGGAGATAGGCACCAGTTCTACCGTGACCCTAATGGAATAAGCATGAAAAATGGATGGATGGATGGATGGATGGATGG